TCACAGGAAACTACTACAGAATGCTAAGTTAGTATTTAAACTGATGTGATATTGGGGGTGCCTGGGTGGCTCAGTCAGTTAAGTGTCCAACCTTCGGTTTTGGCTCAGGTCATGATCTCATGGTTTGTGAGATCGAGCCCCACATTGGGCACTGTAGTGATAGTGCAGAACATGCTTGGGATTCTTTCCCACTCTCTCTGTCCCTCCCCTGCTTGTGCTCTCTCTTAAAAAAATAAATAAAATTGGCGTGCCTGGGTGGCTCAATCAGTTGGGCGGGCGACTTCAGCTCAGGTCATGATCTCTCTGTCTGTGGATTCGAGCCCCATCAGGCTCTGTGCTGGCAGCTCAGAGTCTGAAGCCTGCTTCGGATTCTGTGTCTCCCTCTCTCTCTGCCCCTCCCCTGCTTGCTCTCTGTCTCTCTCTCTCTCTCTCTCTCTCAAATAATAAAGATTAAAAATAAATAAATAAATAAATAAATAAATAAATAAATAAAATGATGTGATATAAAAATGAAGGCAGAAGAAACAATAACAAAAGTTCTTGAGAAGGTACAAGGAGATGGGTACATGAATATATGATATGAGGAAGGGACGGCTTCAACTGAGGAGGAACATTTCTTCTCTTTAAAAAAAATTTTTTTTAATGTTCATTCATTTTTTTGAGAGACAAAGATGGAACGTGAGTGGGGGAGGGGCAGAGAGAGAGAGAGAGGGAGTCACAGAATCTGAAGCAGGCTCCAGGCTCTGAGCGGTCAGCACAGAGCCTGACATGAGGATTGAACCCATGAATCATGACCTGAGCCGAAGTAGGAAGCCCAACTGACTGAGCCACCCAGGCGCCCCTCTTCTTTTTTTTAACAGAAAGGAAGAATGAAGTGGGAGTGAAGGGTGAAGTGTGAAGACTATAGTGAGAAGATGAAGTCATTCCCAAAGGACGGCTTTTATACCTCAATGAATTATTTGGCGAGGTCATCAGCAACTCAAGACTTGAAGCTGGGGCTTCTGATTCTTAATTTTAATGCAGTTCTACACTGCAAATGATTTGCAAGATTTCTAGCAGGAAACAGTAAGAGTGGCCACAGAAAGGCTACTGTTGAGGCAAGGGTAACAAAACTCAGGTGAGTCCTTTAGGGCAGGAAGGAGCAAAGGCATGGCACCTGCCCTCTCCTTCATTTCTACAGCCCTGGTGCCACATGCTGACTGACCAAGGCACCTGCACTCAGCCTCAGGGTCCTTCTCAACACAGCCAACCTTAAAGCAGCAGGTATTGCAAACCAATCTGAATTGGTACTCGAGATGCGATGTACTTGCCAATCCTCACCTAGGGACTACAGTTCTTTTTATCTCCTCGTCCCAGAGAAGACTGATTTTGGAGAGTGTTTTGAGTGTTAAAATATGTCTGAGAAGCAGAAACATGACAGTAGCTGCCAAATGTCTATCAAGTAGACAATAATCAAGAAAACAGTGGTGAATCATGTCACGGACTTTTATACAACCTTTAAAAAGAATGAGCTAGAATTGTACTACTGATGGGAAAAATTTCCAAGTTATGTCGTTACATGACAACACAGATCCAGGGGCATGTGGGTGGCTCAGTTAAGCGTCTGACTCCTGATTTCAGCTCAGGTCATGATCTCAGGGTTCATGAGATCCAACCCTGATTCAGGCTCCAAGCTATCAGCAGATTCCAAGCTATCAGATTCTTTGGATTCCCCTCTCTCCCTGCCCCTCCCCAACTTGTGCACGCTCTCTCTCTCCTTCCCTCCCTCTCAAAATAAACATTAAAAAAAAGAACAAAAATGCAACTCCAGAACAATGATACAGCTACTTCCATTCCTGATTAAAAACAAAACAAAACAAAACAAAGCTGTATGTAAACATACGCATACACATGGGAATGCTTTAAAAAGGCCTGGAAGAGAATATATCAGGCTATAAGAACTTCCAAGGAAGACTGTACATTAGGATAAGGGACGAAGGGAAAATTTCACTGAGTAACGCACACACTTTCATATTATTACAATTTTTTTCATGAACATTAAATTTTTTCTCTCTTAAAAAAAACATAAAAGATGAGCAGCTGTGGCACAAAAACAGGCACTGGAACAGAATAGAGAACCCAGAAATGGACGCACAAACGTATGGCCAATTCATCTTTGACAAAGCAGGAAAAAATATCCAATGAAATAAAGAGAGTCTCTTAAGCAAGTGGCGCTGGGAAAACTGGAGACATGTAGAAGAATGAACCTGTACCACTTTCTTACACCATACAGAAAAATAAACTCAAAATGGATGAAAGACCTAAATATAAGACAGGAAGCCATCAAAATCCGCGAGGAGAAAAGCAGGCAAAAACCTCTTTGATCTTGGCTGTAGCAACATCTTACTCAACACATTTCCGGAGGCAAGGGAAACAAAACCAAGAGTTAACTATTGGGACCTCATCAAAATAAAAAGCTTCTACACAGCGAAGGAAAAACCAGCAAAACTAAAAGGCAACTGACAGAATGGAAGAAGATATTTGCAAACGACTTATCAGATAAAGGGTTAGTATCCAAAATCTATGAAGAGCTTATCAAACTCAACACCCAAAAAACAAATAATCCAATGAAGAAATGGGCAAAAGACATGAATAGACACTTCTCCAAAGAAGACATCCAGATGGCCAACTGACACATGAAAAAATGCTCAACATCACTCATCATCAGGGAAATACAAATCAAAACCACAATGAGATACCACCTTTCACCTGTCAGAATGGCTAACATTAACAACTCAGGCAACAACAGATGGTGGCGAGGATGAGGAGAAAGAGGATCTTTTTTGCACTGCTGGTGGGAATGCAAGCTGGTGCAGCCACTCTGGACAATAGTATGGAGGTTACTCAAAAAATTAAAATAGAACTACCCTCTGACCCAGCAATTACACTGCTAGGTGTTTAGCCAAGGGACACAGGTATGCTGTTTTGAAGGGACACATGCACCCCAATGTTTACAGCAGCATTATCAACAATAGCCAAAGTATGGAAAGAGCCCGAATGTCCATCACTGGATGGTGGATAAAAAAGATGTGGTACATACATATACAATGAAGTATTACTAGGCAATCAAAAAGAATGAAATCTTGCCATTTGCAACTACGTGGATGGAACTAGAGGGTATTATGATAAGTGAAATTAGTCAGAGAAAGACAAATTTCATTTGACTTCACTCATAGGACTTTAAGATACAAAACACATGAACATAAAGGAAGGGAAACAAAGATATAAAAACGGAGGCCGACAAAAACATAAGAGACTCTTAAATATGGAGAACAAACAGAGGGTTACTGGAGGGGGTGTGGGAGGGGGGATGGGCTAAATGGATAAGGGGCATTAAGGAATCTACTCCTGAAATCACTGTTGCACCATATGCTAACTTGGATGTAAATTAAAAAAAAGAAAAAGAAAAAGAAAAAAAAAGAAATAATGATAGCCTGGGGGAGCGGGGTGGGGGAAAGATGAGCAACTCAAGTGTCTGGGCTCTTTTATATTCAGATCTTTTTGCACTTAATCCTATGATCCCTCTAGTGACTTTCTCTTTTGGATGTCCCCAAACGGAAGGAATATAGGAGATAACACTACTGGACTTGGCCCAGGGTAGGTGTGAAAAAATCCTGGCAGGCTCCGATGTCATTCCCGCCCCCCACCCCCCACTTCCCTCAGTTGTGTTAAATACTTCCTTTGCCTCATCACTTATCTCACTGCCTTCAAATCCTAGCTTCACTTTCTCTTCCCAATGAGTCACTCCTTTCACAAATGCCTTATCCAAATGACAACATCATCATCAGTATCATCTTTTCTACTCCATAATCTGGCTATTAAAATTACTTTTCCCATTCTTTTGATTATATCACACTTCCCACAATAACGAATCTGTTTACCTTACATAACAAATCTCTTCTCTGTAAGCCTAGCAACAACCATTTTCCCTGTCCTATATGATCACACTGTTGTCTTTCATTTCCTCAACCCAATCTTCTTTCATTCCCATTTCTCTTACTTCTCACTGCACTTCCTTTAATCTCCTACTGTGAATGTGACCCTTTCACTCCCTGTTCACGGAGGTCTCCCGCTTTCACGGTCAAGTTCTACGAGACCAGTAATTGCGTATGTCCACCTATTCTGTAATAACTTGATGTCCTCAAATAAGAGTTAGTTTCAGCCTCACTCGTCTGCAGCCACTCCTCCAAGCACCCCACCTCAAAAATTCTAAAGCAAATTCCTCAAAGGTCCTAACTACTTCGTGGGACATCCCCTCCCAAGTCAGTCCCACCTCCCCACACGTCTCCTTTTTTGGAGCACCTTGGACATGACAGGCATGGTCCTAAACACAGTTTACACACAGGAACTCATTTAATCCTGACTCAGCCTGATGAAATGGATACTGTAGTTATCCCCATTTTAAATATGTGTGAACAGAGAACTAGAGGTCACAGAACTTGCCCAAGGTCACACAGCCAGCTGGTGTAAGAAGCAGGATTCCAATTTAGGCTGTGGGGTCCCTGCTCATTTTGGCGTGTATTTCTGAGGCACAACTAAGCACTTCTTTTCTCTGCTCCAGCCACACTGCCATTTCCCCTCTTTGGCACGCAGCATACTGGACCGCAACCACCATACTCATCTCTGTCCTTTAAGGATTCAGAGTACTCTCTGATGACAGAAACTGTCCCTTGCTCTACCCTTAAACATACAATAGCACCCTGAAGTAGGAGGTATTTAATGGTCACTGAACAAATTCTTGAGTTTTCACAGCACTCCCTCTCCATCCACATTGGTGGACTCAGTCCCAACTCGCAGCCTCCTGCCTCAGTACCCCCACACCAAAGAGAAACTGTGTGGGGAGCTGTGGTGCTACATGTCCTCTGCTCTCTCCAGGACACTGCAGGTGACATCTCTAAGAAGACGTTCAGGTGGTGGGCTTCAAACCACCCACAACACAGGTGGCAAGATTCTAGACTTACCTGATAGTGCATCATAGAACTCGTCTTCGCTGAGGATGCTGTGGGGTGGCGAGCCTTCAACCAGAGATTGCTCTAATTCATGGTGTTCAGTGGCCAGAGTCTCCAGTGCTTCTGACAAAATTTTGTTTTTTTCTTGCTCCTGTTCCAATTTAAAATTCCTCACCTGCAAGAAAACAGATACACAAAAAAAGACTTCAGTGACAGGAGACATACGCTTATTCAAAGGGATGTAAAATTTATTTGCTTTTGATCCAGTTCCATCACAACATCAGAAATGAAAACAGTTGTTATATGCATGCACGGATGAATGAGCACAATTACTAAACTAATTCTGTTCTTCCTGTGGGGCCTTTTCTCACAACAGCTCTAGCTAATGAAAATAGATTAAGACTAGCAAATTTGGCTCAAATGATCAAGATTCTAGTATAAGAACGTGAGCCAATTTAGAAGTCAGATAAAATTTTAAAAAGACAGAGTATCTCTCTCTGACATTAATCATGAAATTAAGCCCATTTTGACTAAAATAATTAAAACCATTCTAAATATTAAAATGTATACCACATCAAAGTATAAGATACAATCCTCGAGTTTACTTCTGAAAGAGCTGGAGTATCAAATGAAAGGAAATGAGTGGCCACATAATGACATTTTAACTTCCATTTTTCAATTCCATATTTTGGTTATGGTTCTCTATTTTACCTTGAATTTAGTACACTAACAACAACAAAAAGATTATTAAAAAAGGTAATGCCTGGTTTCATTTTTCATCTTTTAATGAGATCATCCATTCTTCCTAATTCAAGAGCATCTCAACCTTTGCAGTTAACTAATACCCTCTGAAATTTAAGTAAGCTGATCCTCCTGTAAAATAGCAGGTGCTAGATTTGGTGTGGACAGTTTCACCTGTCTTGATATTGGAACTCTAGAAATCACAACTATTCCGCAATCTCCCCCAACTTCTATTCCAAAGGGTCTGCCATTACCCACTGTGCAATCGCAGAAGTCTCGTGTTCTTTAACTGCCTTGCCTGAAAATTAGATTATTAGACAACAGTGGAAACTTCTATCAGTAGTCTCCAAACTTGTGTGTGTGTGTGTGTGTGTGTGTGTGTGTGTTTTAACTTGGGCAGAGCAGAACCCATCTCAGAAATAACCCCAACACAGGAAATAGAGGTTTTCCAAAGCTGCACTGGGTGACACTGGTACACTCAGGAGCGCTATGGCTTTCTTTGGCTTCCATCCAAAGTGGGGGCTGTTCCAACAGTTTGAAAAGCACCGGATGGGGGTACTCTACAACCTCCTCCAGGTCCGAAGTTCTGGCTCTGGGTCTTGGGAGCCACAGAACCCTCTCCGCTGCTCTCTGAATTACTCTCTGCTGAATCTCACCCTTTCACCTCCTGACACCCACTTGCACGCTCCCTTCCCTTTGGTTCTGACTCCAGAGTCCTTTGTAGCCCTGAGTCCCTGACAGCCACATAATCAGGTTCAACAAGTGAAGAGTGACAGAACTTAAAAACACAGCTTTACTGAAATGCTAAGTTCATAACCGAAATGGAGTAAAGCTTTCATTATCTTGGGAATAGTTCCAGTCTTCAGGCACCTAAGTGTTTATCATTACGGTAATGAGATTATTATTATAGCTGTGATCATGAAATAAAAATAGCAATAAATGATAAATGTGCAAAGATGTGAAAAACTGAAAAAAATACTTATATAATTTTCAAGAAATTGCAAAATACTTGTAAATATCCCTATAATCTGGATTTTACCTCCAGAGGAAATACTATTATGGCTGGAGTCAACTTAAAAATGAAACGGGAGCTCCTGCGTGGCTCAGTCAGTTAAGCATCTGACTCTTGATCTGGCTCAGGTCATGATCTTGAGGTTCTGAGATCAAGCCCCGTGTTGGGCTCTGTGCTGGGCCTGAAGCCTGCTTAAGATTCTCTCCCCCTCTGCCCCTCCCCTATGTGCACTCTCTCTCCCTCAAAATAAACCTAAAACAAAAAAATCCAACCATTTCTTGGGTTAGACAATTCATTTATCTGTAAACAAGGACTACAAAATTGAGCATAATGTCCAAAATGATCCTCTCTTCAAATGGAAAAGATCTTTCAGCATTGTTGTATGTGTAGATTCCAAAAATACCTCTGAAGAGGAATCAAGCTCCTTCACCCCTGCCCATCCATTCCCTTTAGCTTTACCTTTCTTTTTGGCTTTTCAAACATCAAAATGCAAATACGCTGTTGACACTGAACCTTTCAACATATGAATCAACTAAACTTAGTAACTCAACTAACCCTTCTAGTTACAAATATGTTAGTTTTATACCTACATTCATCTAGATTTTAGAATAGTGGCAAAATAAATGATCGAGGCCCCCAAATATAGTGTTCCCTCAACAGAATCTTATTCAAACTCCAATTTATCCTTAACCATCTGAAATATGCATCCCTTCATTTCTGCTATTTGGACACATGCTTTCAGTTGCTCTTACCAGCAGGGAAAGGGGTGGGAAGCACAAGCAGGAGAAGAGGCCCGCACCACTACTCCTGCTCTTACCTTGATGACCTGGCTGCACGTGTACCTGCTTCAAGAGTAACAGGATCTTCCGCACTGAAGGAAGAAACCTCACTCTAAAATTGCACACAAGACCGCAAGTTCTTTCATCATGTACACTGACCGCACCCGAGAGCAGATCTACACCAGTGAAGAGCTCTTTATTGCTTTAGAGAGGCATCTAAGAATATACTTCACGGCCATCCATACCTTTCAGCCTATTAGAAAGATCACTGGAATGATGTAATTCCAATCTCGGGCCTTCAGAAACACCAGGGGACAAGCCGGCATTTAAAAATTAGTGCAAAACTACTGATAAAGGTATGCAGAGTGGAAGTTCATGATCAGTGAAGTCCAGCATATGGGTTTATAATCACATTAGAACATTTCTAGAATATGGTGATTTTTTTCAAATTAAATATAAAAGTGAAATACAAAATTTATACCCTCAGCCCTATAACTTTCCCATAACAAAAATTAACACATCACAATGTGAACATAAAGATCAGACTTTATTAGGAATAATTTAAGGACTGAACCATCACACACTTAATAAGAAACATATATATGCTCCACGTCCGTATCACTTTAGACTAACGCAAATACAAGCCTTTCCACTAGTCTTCTCAAACCACAGCAACACAATCTATTGTCTTACTCTCTTTCATGCTGGCATGTGAAATTTCACAATGAACACTTCCAAAGTGTTCTTCACACCAACAGTAAACAGATGCCGGCTAAAGAATCAAGAGTTTTAAAAAGTTACGTGCTACCCAGTGCACACACATTTTATCTACTCTCGTTCTACAAAGTGCCTTGTTACTCACCCACGTTCCACAGAGGTTAAGTCAGGCAGAGACAATAATTAAATCTGGCAAAGGCATACTAAGTGGGGAGTAAGTGATGAATATTCACAGAATACTGTGTCCAATTATCCAATTACAGGTTAGGTGAAATTCTGGCCTTGATCAATCTGGTAAGCTACCTTCAACTGGCCACACTCTCATCAGCTAAACAGCATTAGCCTTATTTCTTATTATTGGATGTGTGGCTACAACACAGAATGTATTAGCTTAACTCTGAAGCCCTAGATCTTCGATTTTAAAACATCTAATTTTATCTCTCAGATAAAGAATTACATTGACCTTTATTTTGTGGTTATAGAACCAACACTATACTAACTTCAAGGCTTTTTTAAAGATACGTACTTTAGGCGACTCCCCACAATGGCCACATAGCTGTTAAAGTGAGTCTGCTCCTTTACAGCTGGTAAGGGCTCTTCTCCTCCAAGTCTACCGAGTTGTTTTGGTAGCAGAGGATGGAGATCTTTCACGTGAATGACCCTCAGCATTACTTCTGAATCCATAGCCAGGCCGAATCACACCCTCACCTCCAGGGTACAAGAAAATTCAGGTTTGATCCCACATCTAAAGCGCAATCAAGTGTAAAAATATATCCTCATGACCATATAGTACATACTTTGTTTTATAGATTTACAAAGCACCTTTACACACATTTAATTTTTTTTTTTAAGTTTTTTTTTAACGTTTATTTATTATTGAGAGACAGAGACAGAGCATGGGCACGGGAGGGGTAGAGACAGGGGGAGTCACAGAATCCGAAGCAGGCTCTAGGCTCCTCACTGGCAGCACAGAGTCCGACACGGGGCTCGAACCCACAAACCGCGAGATGGTGACCTGAGCCGAAGTCGGACGCTTAACCGACTGAGCCAGCCAGGTGCCCCCTTTACACACACATTTTCAAGTTTTCATGGACTCTAATGCCCTTCTTCCATGCCATTCCATCACTGCTTTTCAAGGGTAATGCACTTCCTTATGTTCCTGAAGACCTTTTTTGTTTTTCGGTCTTTCCTACCACTAAAAAAAAGACACTTATTTAAAAACAAACGTGCCTTAGTGACCAAAGGAGACCTGACAGGAGAACAGGGAGATGAGGCGGGTTCTGCAAGGCAGTTGTGGTGGGGGAGGAGAGATGGCTTAAAGCTTGCAGATGGCTGGGAGAACTCTGGCTTTGATGCTGAGATGGGAAGCTTTTGGAGAGTTCTGAAGCAGAGGAGTAACATCATCTGATTTCCATTTGCATACAGTCTCTCTGGCCAACAAGGAGTCAGGGGGAGGTCAAGAGTCCAATCAGAAAGATCCCTTAAAGGGTTGCTGCAACAGTCAGGGTAAGATGAGATGGGCAAGAGCAATGAAGAGAGCAGAGAAGTAGTCATAGCCTGAATACACTTTGTAGGAAGGCCTAAATGACTTGCTGATAGACTGCCTATGGGATATGAAAGAAAAGAGAAATCAAAACTCCACAGTTTGGCCTAAGCTAAAGACAGAGCCATCATTACCTAAACCGGGGAAGACTGCAGAGGGAGCAGAGACCATCAGGAACTCTGTTTCGTACATGGTTAAGTCTGAGATGCTGTCAGATAGCCAAGTGCAGGGGTCAAGTAGACAATTCGGTATCAAATCTGGTGTTCAGGGAAGAGGTCCAGGCTGGATAGAGAATTCTGAGAGTCATTTGCAAATAGATTGTATTTTAAGCTATGAGAGTAGAAACAATCACTAAAGGAGAAAGTGAGGTATAAACAGGAAGA